AATAAGGCATTTGAAACCCTTAAGACTTAAGTGTAGTATAACAGTAATAATAACTCACGTGGAGCTTGTATAGTTCCAGACATAACAATGGTTGTGTAACGGCCCAATCAAACAGATCATCCTTGGCTTGGATCCACAGGCAGGTACCAACACTTTCCAAATTACAGCCATATGGTATGACTGGCAATACAGAACATTTAATAATCTCTAAAGAATTAATTAACAAAGTTTAAGCTTTAAAAGCTAAGAATTTAAAAATGTGCAAGTTCATTTTTAAAGGTTGACACATCTAATTGTTTATATGATCATGAAAGTGTCGCACAGGGGTTACATCAATAATATTAAGATAAGCACCAAAATTTCATCTTTGTAACTTCAATACATTTTTAATGATTATTCTAAAATATTTATTTAAAAATTACATGATCATAAAATTATTAAATTTGTTTTTGGTTTTTCAACTATTGAAAGCCAAATGTGCACACCAAGCAAAAAAAAAAATGAATTAAATATGGTACCTGGTAATGAAAGAAATTAGTTTACAACCTGTGAACCCCCTTTAATTATGTGAATTTTAAGTGTGCTCATTACAGGTCCAGACTTCTGATTGTGTAGCCTACATGTATAATAATAGAGGAAAGAAGAGGTCACACACTATTTACTCTGTGCATTTTCAATGTGTATTAGAAATTTGAATGTGTACACTACTGTTTGTGTGTATGTTTAGAAGATGGTGCCAAGAGGGATCAGGGTTCAGGGTTCTTTATGGGTTTTTCAATTTCAGTTAGTAAATGTAATTGAATTTTTCACCTACCCAATAGGCCTCAGATCTAATTGTTTTAACTTGAGCAGTCAGGGCGCTGGGCTACTAAATGCTGCCATGCTTAAGTCTTAGCTGTGCCCACAATCTTTTACTCATGAACACCCTCTAAGTGTGACCAGCCCAGCAGTGTTGATAGAAAACAGATTCAACTTGTTGGAAGATGCAGCATGAAGCCTTGGACTCAAAAGAAACATAAGTGTGAAGAATCCACAATATAAATTATATAGTGGATTATAAATACCGGAACAACTAGTGTTAATGTTATACCGGTTAAATACCTTTAACAGACCTAAAAAGTTCACTTAAAATCACTAGAAATGTTCTCAATGAAATATTTACTGACTGGATAAACAGTCTAAAGATATAAATCCATTCAAGGTGTGGTTATCCGAAACAGAGAAATGAAGCCAAAAAATAGGTAATTAAAAGCTTCACATATAGTTAAAACATTGTTCATGAAGCCCCTTTCATGTGTTAGAAATAAACAAGAATTTTGGGGGGAAGTATTTGGGCCATGTGATGTGTAAGTGATAAAAGAATAATTGGTAACTAAGAAAATACTAAATCCCAACATTGTTTGAAATTGATGCTATGATGAAATAAGCTCAAAATATATCAGCTTTTTGGTCTTTGGGGGTTACATACAAGTGTTATGGTATAAAAGCTTGTATTAAATAACTTGTATAAATCAAGTACTTTAAAAAAATTAAATAGTAATGTACTATTTAAAGTTATGAAGTGAAGTACTGTAACACTAAAAACTCACATAAAATCTTGTGTTATTCCAAACATTACAATGCCTGAGTGAAGGGTTGTGTAACGGCCAAATCAAACTGATCATTTTTGGCTTGGGTCCACTAGCAGGTGATGAAACTTTTATTATACAGTCATATGGTGTGGTTATCGGAAACAGACATTTTTTATCATTTTAAGAATTATTTTTTCAAATTTTTTGCTTTAAAAGCTAAGAAGAAATTAAGCCAAAATATAGATAATTAAAATGTTGACATATATTACAATATTGCTCATGTAACCCCTTTAATGTATTAGTAATAAATAAATATTGGAAAGTATTTTCTCCATGTGATTCGTAAGTGATAATAGAAGTATTGGTAAGTAAGAAAATACTAAAACCCAACATTGTTTGAAATAGATGGTATGATGAAATAAGCTCAAAATAGATCAGCTTTTTGGTCTTTGATGGTTACATACCAGTTGTCACTATATATCAGTTTCTTGGTGTCTGAAGCTTCCATTCCAGTTTTAAGATGTAACATAACTTGTATAAATCAAGTACTTATACTTATAAAAAGAATAATATATTGATGTCCTGAACTGAAGTATGCTAAAACCTTACTTTAAAACTTGTGTAGTAGTTCCAAACATTGCAATAGCTAGAGGAGGTTTTGTTACAAAGTTACAGACTAATCAAACTGATCATCTTCGGCTTGGATTCACAGGCAGGTGCCACCACTTTCAAAATTAAAGTCATACAGACAATACAGTGTGAATGGAAATACAGAAATTTTAATCATATAAAAAAATTCATTTGCAAACTTTAAGCTTTAAAAGCTAAGAATTTAAACCAAAATTAGGTTAAATGACAGATTGACATATAATTAAAATATTGTTTATATTATACGCTTGTGTGTAAGTTCAATGTATAAGATAAACACTTCTGATTGTGTACATAATTTCCAAATGTGTATCAAAAGCCAGAGACTAACGAATGTGAGCACCTCTAATGACCAAATAGAAAGCTTTGACTGCTGTTTGTTTGCATTATAGGATAACACTTCTGATTTTATGCATGTTTAATGTTTTGTATAATGTGTAGTAAAAGGCATGCACTACTGCACTCCAATTCAAATTTATTAACGATATTTGCTTTTAATAAAGAAGATGATGAAACAGTTTGTTCACTTAACTTGATAAAAACCCACGATGAGTCTTTACACAACGCCTTGACTTACTTGAGCAGAAATATAAACCAGACTGAACGCTAGAACACACTAGAGTAAAATGCTTGCCACTATAACTCACAACTCACAACAATGCGATGACACTTAACAGTAGAATATTGGGGGGGGGGGGGGGG